CTCTCTCTCTCTCTCACACACACACACACACACACACACACTTTCTCTACTAATCTCTCGAGTTGAAAATTTGGAATTTCAGACACAAGAATATCAAGAGAGTGCTTTTGCTTTTTGCTGACTTTAGAATTAATGGTTCTTCAGCTTCTCTGTGATTCAGACCTTCCTGGCTTGTGGGGGCCATTGTAAGGGTCTTTCTCTTTCTCACTCTTTTTTCCACTCTGCTGCCTCTCTTGCTTTTCCCACAGGTGGCCATAAGTTGAGTAGCTGGCTGTCATACAGCTGTTTCAAATATAGACAGATTTTCTTGTCATGTTTTATAATCACAGTTGTTACTTATTTATCCTTGAAATACATATATATATTTCTGTCTCTGTCTCTCTTTTTAATAACTTAATGCTCTAGTATGGTCAGCACATGGGAGCTAGTAAATACTGAGAAAGAAGAACACATATATTTAGGAACTACTGTGTGCTCTAAGTTCATAGAGCACATATGGAATGCTTTGACTGTGTTCCATTCTGTCTTGGCCTGAGTGACTGCCAGGCCTTGTATGAAATGATTTGGGAATTGAACCGGTCTACTGCAATGGTTTGTCATCATTACTCATTTAACCCAATGAGAGAAGTTTCTTTGGATCGGTATAGAACAGTGATTTTCAAACATAATATGTCACAAACAAATGTAAAGTACTACATTAGATGATTAATAATAATGCTGTAGTGAAGTTTGTGAGTGATTTGTGTTTCTTATAAGTTAAAAGGGGCTCAAGATTAACCCTGTAGTAACATTACTTGCCCTCACTCACGTTTCCTTTTAATTTCTTGAGTAGGCAAAACGGGATTGTTGGCGCACCACCAAATGTTGCTCATAACCAGCAGCCTCTCTTATTATGCATCAGACAGTAAATTTACAGCGCATGTCTACTCTTATTAATCATATCCCTTGAATTTCAGAGCTTTTAAAAAGCTTGAGAATCTAATCTATCTAAATGCAAAAGAGCAGCAGCACAGTAATGATTAAGATCTAGGTGCATAGTATGGCTCTGCTTCTTCTTTGTGTGATCTTGAGCATGTTATTTAACCCGTTTAAACCCATTGCCTGTTTTTTTAATGGCCATAGGGTATTTTTGAGGATTGATAATGTATATAAAATAGGATTTAACACAGTATATGGCAAATAATAATTGTTAAATGAAATTATTTGTTCATAGCAGTAATAAAACTCAACAGTACCAGATCAGAAAGACTTGACTCTCGCTACAAGCTGGAGAGGAAAATTCTGATAAGAGTTTTATTTCTTAGCAATACAGATCTCTCAGGATGCCTAGGCCATAGGAAATGCCTGAGTTTATGCTTCTAGCCACAGCTAAAGAAGGTCTTCAAGGAATATTTATACTGTTATCTGGGACACTGAAGGCCACCAGGACTTCCTCTACTGATCTCTCTAGAGCTGAAGGCTTCGGACACAAAAATATCAAGAAAGTTATAGGATTCATGGTTCTTCAGCTTCTCTGTGATTCAGACCCTCCTGGCTTGTGGGAGCTCATTGTGAGGGTCTTTCTCCCTTTCCCACTCTTTCTTTCACTCTGCTACCTTTCTTGCTTTTCCCACAGATACCTATAAGTTGAGTGGCTGGCTGTCATATAACTGCTTCAAATACAGACAGCTAGATCTTCTTGTCATGTTTTATGATCATAGTTGTGACTTATTTCTCCTTGAATAAAGGAGTCTTTGTCTTGCATCCACCTGGGATTTCTGGGAGCCCTTCAGACTCTGTGGTTGGTAAAATGACTGCTATATCTTATGCTGGAAACCCTCTTACACAAGTGCTGCACACAATTTGCTCATTGACCTAAAGTTTTCTACTTCACTGGTTTGGAAAGGGTGGACTGAGCAGACCTCATTGATTTGCAAAGCTGATGTAGTATTTTCAGATTCTATTGAGTTTGAGTGAATTTAATGTATAAGACAATTTATTCTGAAGGCTGTAATTGGATTTTAAGGGCTGTATCATACAATTTTCATTTGCAAAATGGAATCAGGTGTGCAGAGTTCATTACTTTGTGATTCAAAATCATTGAACGTCTTCCAAGGCAAGAAAAATCTCCCTATTCCAGTTGCCAGAGGTTCCATTCCACCCAGACAAGACAAAGCCCTTGCAGTTGAGTGAGTTACATCAGACCTGATTAGAGCGAGCATACGTAAGGGATTAGAGATTATCAAGGGCTTGAGTTTTGAAGAGTCTACATATACTGTGCATTTCCAACTCTACCCAAGGATCTACATGGAAAAGGAAGCTGCTTTATAGTCCTTAGAGCTGATCCCAAGCAGCTGCATGCAGCCAGTCCTTCCTACTACTCAAGTGAAAAGTTTCAAGGTCCAAGTATCTCAGAAGCCCCCTGACTGACAAGCTGCATTCTCTCCTAAATGTTGACACAAAGACGTGATTCTAGAACCTTACTGGTCCATACTGGGAGTCTCCAAGGCACTCTGCAGTAAGGACTGTCCTGTTCCATTGCTAGACAAAGACAGAATTAAAGGATTCTAGGCCTCTTTCCTGCTGGAGCTGAGCAGGGGTGGAGTTCTCAGGGAGGCCAAAGGTGGTAGTGTGGCCTTTTTAGGTAAAGAGATGCATAGAACAAACCAGTCCCTGTCTAAGCTTTAGGTCCTGGTCTCTGCCTGCTTCTTGCTGATAGGGACAGCCAGGCTTGCTGGTAGAAGACAAAATAGACTCCTTGGCTTTTCTGGCTTAAACAATGGAATTTTTCATAGATTCAGCTGGTTATTTAGAGTTTTGCTTCAGGGTTTGGGGACAAAGCCCAGCTCATAGTAGAGCCTTATTTGCCCTGTTTTGTTTTCTTTGCATAGTTTTTAATCTAGGGACCTAGCAAGAGGACTGCGTAGTTAAAGGCAGGATTTGGTTATTACTGGATATCTTGGGTCTCCTTTACCAGACACTGTATTAATCACACTTCAACCTCCCATATGTCTTAGTCCATTTTGTGTTGCTATAATGGCATAACACAGATTGGGTAATTTATATAGAAAAGAAATAGATTTCTCACAGTTCTAGAAGCTGGGAAGTCTGACATCAAGGTGCCAGCAACTGGCAAGGGCCTTCTTGCTGCATCATCCCATGGTAGCAAGTAACAGGGTGAGAGAGAGGGAAAGGAGCTGAGCTCATCCTCCTATCAGGAACCCACCTTCACGATAACTAATCCACTCCCAGGATGACAGCATTTCATTTACGATGGTAAGCCCTCATCTAATCACTTCTTAAAGGTCCCAGTGCTTAACACTATCGCCCTGCAGATTAATTTTCAACACATAAACTTGGGGGAGGGGTACACATTCAAACTATACCATGATTAGGTTCAGAGAGGCCCTTGCCAGAAAGTCTCCATTCATCCTGTCTAAAAATCTAACTTATTAAAAGTTCAATAATATTACCTCTTTACATGTGCAATTTTGTTACATGGATAAAATAAAATGGTATTCCCTCTCATAAATAGTGATTGGCAAAATGCAATCAGAAGATTAGAAGCTAAACAATAGTTCAAATCTCTTCCAACAAAAGATTAGAAGCTAAACAACAGAGTAAATAGACAACCTACAGAATAGGAGAAGATATTTGCCAACTATGCATCTGACAAAGGACTAATATCCAAAATCGATAAGGAGTTTAAATGGATCAACGGGGGGGAGGGGGGAAGCAAATAATAACCCCATTAAAAAATGGGCAATTAGCCAGGTGTGGTGGTGTGTGGGCAACGGAGTGAGACTCCAACTTAAAAAAAAAAGGGGGGCAAAGAAGGCATACAAGTGGCAAACAAACATGAAGAATGCTCACCTGTATATATATCCCTTGAATCTAGGGTAAAATTTCTTTTAAAAGATTAAAAACTAAACTCCTTTGAGTAACACATTTTTCATTCACTACCACCTTGCCCAAAGTTGGCTGTTTAATGATATAACATGTTTGGCAGAGACTCCTAGGACCTTATATCATGGTAAGTTCTTTAAATGAAGTTAATACCATTAAGATCAGCGTTATCAGACTTATCAGGAAGGATTGAACCTTCATGCCTCTTCAAAAAATGTTCAAGGCCCTGTCCCCTTTCACTGCTGCACCCCCACTTGGTTGCCTTCACCCTGTGGGAATGGGCCCAGTAGTAGTTGCTGTTTTACCAGTAATTTTTATTTTTTCCATTTCATTAAAAAAAGCACAGCTTTGGATCAGAAACTGTTTCTTCCTCAGGCCTCAAGTGTCCAGGGCTCATAGTCTACTTCGTGTCATGGCTACTTAATTAAGAAAGTTCCTCTGTGAATCTACATTCTTGGACCACATTATGTACTTTATACTTTAATAATGTTAATTCTTTGTATTAGCTTTTCCAGCCTGCAAAATAGTACCTGACCCTCAGAGAGTCAAGGATTCTCATTTTAAGCTTTTTACAGGTTACTTTATCAGGTCAGTTCAAATACTTGTACATTTTCCCCCCAGTCAATAGGGAAAAACCTAGTTGTGAACTGCTTCGATCAGATTATTTTCTTAACCCTTAGGGGAGATTAACTGAAAGCCCTGTATTCTGAGAGATGAGTTGAAGAAGAGCTAGAGATAATGCTACAAGGGGCAGCGTTAAGGTTTTGGAAACCTGCTTGGTCAAGGAAGGAAAGGTGCTTAATGTAGAAGAGCTACTGGAAAAGGGATATAGAATCACAATGATCATTTTAGAAGGGAGCTTTCCTTGGTTCAACTCAGGATGTTGGCTTCAATTAGGCAAAATATAAAGTGAGACTTCCTAACATTGAAAGCCGCTATGTATTATTATTATTATTATTTTGAGAAAGCAGGATTTATTGAGAGGGCAGAAAAACTTCCACAGTGGGAGGGAACCCAAAGGGGTTGCCCCAGCTGCTATGTATTATAAATGTCATAGCTACATGTTTTTTTCAGAAAGTAGTTCTCAAAGCTTTTCATATTCAGTACATACTTACGTGGAAATATTTCTGCAGTATTGCATCTTAAGAATCCGGAGTTGTTTGCAGCCTATCTGAAGGTCGTCAAGGATTTGGTCAGTAAGCAGGATACAACCAGAGATATCCAAAATGTGCAGGTATTGACATTTTGCTGATAACATCTCTATCGCTGAGTCAGTCATCTGCACACACAGTCAAAGGAAGTACTGGTTACCCAAACAAACAAACTCAGGGAGGAACAATGCCTTAGTCAGTTTGAGCCATTATAATAAAACATCATAGACTGTGTGGCTGAAACATGAAACATTTATTTCTTACAGTTCTGGAGGGTGGAAAGTCCGAGATCAAGATTGAGGTTCCTGCAGATTAGTGTCTGGGGAGGTTCCTCCTCTTTGTTTGAAGATGTCTGTATTCTTACATGGCAGAGAGAGAGATCTTGTTTTTTCCTCTTCTTATACGGCCATAATCCCATCATGGAAGCTCCACCCACATGACCTTTTCTAAACCTGAGCCTATTTACCTCCAAACCCCCTCATGTCCTAAATTAGGATTCCAACATATGAATTTTGGAGGACACACACGTTCAGCTCATAACAGCACAATCAGGAGACGTGCAGATTCTCTTTCACCCCATTTGTCACATGACGACGGGCCTGCAGTTTAAATTCATTGTTTGACTATTTCCAAATAAGGTCAAAACAGTAAAATATCTGCCTCAAGTGGCGCCAGTGGAAATTGTGAACTTGCTGTATTTTCATTTAAGAGTCCTCTGGTTTGGATGAAAAACTTCATCAAAATTTCTTTAGTAGTACTTGTCAAACCAACATGAACAACTTATGAAATATTATAGAGATGGGATTTGGCTTTGAATTTAAAATCCCCTCTAAGGCATCATCAATTTGGAAACACATGTTTAATAACATTACATGTTATAAAACTACAAACTATATATTCCCTGAAGTTAACCTGCAGACAAGATCAGATTACTATGAGAAGGAGTCTGGACATCTCTGATAGTTTGTATAGAAGAAAGATGGAGTAACGTGGTTCTGGGAAGGGACAAATAGAGACAGATGTTTGGCGGCAGGGGGAGAAAGAAGGGCAGAAGCCACAGAGACTACGTGAATTCTGCTCTGAGAAATTCTGGCAGGGGTTCCAGTATCTCTCACAAATTTGCCCAGATGTCCTGCAGAGGTGATTCAACTGTGCTTCTCAGATTATTTCACTTTGAGTCTTTTTACTTTTGAATTTATAGTTTTGCTGCAACTTGCTGCAGAACTAGACTACTCTCCCCAAAGGTATTTTTTTCCAACTGGATTTAATTTCTTATTTTAAATGTTTGAACCTTCTAAAAAACATATGCCAGGAGGCTTGGCTCTTGTTTTTAACATAAAGTTAAGAGAAGTATGTAAAAAAATCCTTCTGTTTGAAATGTAAACTTTTTAAGTATGAAAACTACATGTTGTCATTGTCTAAGCATGCTGTTTCCAGAACGTGCTTAGGACCAAGGTTCAACATTCCAACTAATTCTCACAAAAATGCCTTCAGACATTCTTACCATACTATGTGGGTCTCTGAGGATCTGATGTCATTGAAAAACAAAAGCCCTCAGAATTATAAAGGAAAGAAAGAACAATGAGGTGATGGAAAAGTCCAGGGGCCTGTGGAGTTCAGAGTAGTAGATTTGGTTTCATAGTGAGTAAACTGAAAAGGAGACTGACAATCCTTGTAGAACAGAAACTCAAGATGTTCAGTGACTGAGGTGACATTGTGGGAGTTCTGGATTAAGGACTGGAAACTGAGGATGGAGATGAGTTGGCTACATTCTTAATTCCCAGCTATAAAGTCCTGGTCCCAGCCTCACTGGGCAGAGATTATGCTAGTCCCAACACAACTACATTTGATTCTCTGAAAAAAATGTTCTTTATTTTTTAAATGAAGTTATTTCATATTTTACAAATAATATAAGCACAATCTTTAAAATAAGCAAAAACAGCAAAGTAAAATAATGACAAATCTATCACCTTAAAATAACTACTTTTAATATTCTGGAGTATGGGGGGGATTCAAAAAAACCCAAAATTTGTAAAAAAAATTGTGTATTTATTCTTCCATGTTAAAACTTCAGTCACCTTCAAAGTATTCTCTGTTTGATGCAATACAACTATCAAGACATTTTTTTCCACTGCTCAAAGCAGTTTTCAAACTTATACATTTTGATGTCTTTTGGTGTTTCTGCCGTTTTTTGTTTTACCTCTTCCACATCGGCAAAATATCTCCCTTTGAGGACTTTTTTCATCTAGGAATGCAGAAAAAAGTTGCTCAGGGCGAGATCGGGTGACAAGGGAAGTTGGGGCATGGGAGTCAGACCATTTTCAGTCAACTGCTGAACACTCAGTGTGGTATAAACAGGTGCATCATCTTGGTGAACTAGTCACATGTTTGCCACAACTTTGGGATATTTCTTCCACAAATCATGATGCAACCTTCTCAAAACTTCCAGATAAAAATTTTGGTTGACCTCTTGATCTGGAGGAACAAATTCTGAGTGTAGTGCAAGGGGCCTGCCCTCCAAAAGGTTATTCTAGGTTTGTTTGTATCCCCCCTCGTCTTATTAGTTCCCCATTCCTAGCCTCCCATGAACAAAATTGTAAATATAGTGATTAAACTAATTTTGCATTCTGCTGGTTTTTTTTTTTTTTTTCTTTTTATGAGATGGGCTTCACCATGTTGCCCTGGCTGGCCTAGAACTCTCGGGCTCAAGGTGTCTTCCTGCCTTAGCCTCCTGAGTAGCTGGGACTATAGGCACATATCACCAGGCCTGGCTTTCATCCTTCTTTTTCTTTCTTTCCTTCTTTCCTTTTTTCCTTCTTTCCTTCTTTCCTTCCTTCCTTCCTTCCTTTCTCTTTCTTCTTTCTTTCCTTTTCTTTCTCTCTCTCTCTCTCTACTAATGCATTTTCATACTACTTTAGTCTTCATATTTATAATGTTTAGTAGTTACAAAATGTTTCATTTGATAGGCATAGTTTACCACTCCCATATATCTGGTCACTTTCGTTGTTTTCAAGTTTTTACTATTTAAATAATATTTTGATGACTGTGTTCATAAGTATAGTCTTCTTCAAATTTTGGATTTTTTCCCTTAGGATAGATTGAGAAAGTAGATTTAATGGGGGTATTTCGTGGACTGAATGTTTGTCCCCTCCAAAACTCATGTTGAAGCGTAATCCCCAGTGAGGCAGTATTGAAAAGTAGCACCTTTTAAGAGATGAGTGGGTCATGAGGGTTCTGCCCTCATGAATGGAATAATCCATTCATGGATTAATGGACTAATGAGTTAACCAACTGGTGGGTTAGCATAGCATTGGGACTAGTGGCTTTATAAGAAGAGGAAAAAAGACCTGAGCTGGCTTGTTTAACATGTTCAACTTTCTAGCCATATGACTCCTTGTGCTGCCTCGGGACTCTACAGAGAATCCCCCCACAGCAAGAAGGCTCTTACCAAACATTCCCCCATGACCTTGGATTTCCCAGCCTCCATAACTGTAAGAAATAAATGTTTCTTTTAAATTACCTGTTTCAATTATTCTGTTATAAGTAACAGAAAACAGATTAAGACAGGGTATAACTATTTTTGTGACTCTTGTTTACATATTTTCACATTGCCTCACAAAAGGATTGTACTCATCTATAATGCCATCTACAACATAAGAACCAGTTTCACTGAACCATTAGTGCCCATGGGGCAATACCATTAAAAGTTACATTAACTTGGTAGGCCATACATGATACTTCAAACAATGTTTTAACTTGGATTTTTTTTTACTGTGTTGGATCTCTTTCCACATTATTTGCTAGTAGTATTTTCTCTAGTTTGAATCCCCCAGCTCTGCCACTATCTAGTTATGTGACCATAGGCAAGTTGGTTAAATTCTCTGAACCTCGGTTTCCTCATCTTTAAAATAGTTACCCAAAACTGCTATAAGATGAAATGAGATAATGTATGTGACCAGTGACTAGCATATAGTAAGCACTCAGTAAATAGTAGTTACCATTATGATTATTCATCTCCTTTGCCGTTAATTTATGGAATCTCTTTTTCAAGTAGGAGCTCTTTATACAAAAGAGAGATTGACCATTGCCTTTCATGTTTGCTGAATTGTACTGTTCCCCCTCCCAATTCTTGTTTTGATTGTCTGAGAAGTCAATTAATTTCACTACCGCTTCTAGTGGAGAACTTAGGAAAAGAAAAGTGCTTCAAAGATGGGCAGCAAGAAAAGGATCAAAATCGCCCACAAAATAGACTGTTGTATAACAATTGGTTTCATGAAATATCAACTACTAAGAATCTAATACAGTAAGAAATGATTTACTTTGAAGGTCAGGCCAAAAAAGAGTTTTCAGGTATTTGCTCTAGGTTTTTGATAAGCCACTGAATCTTGGGAGGGCTTCTAAATATAATAAAAATATTTTGGGGCATGGTGACTCATGCCTGTAGTCCTAGCACTTTGGGAGGCAGAGGCAAGAGGACTGCTTGAGCCTAAGTGTTCAAGACCAGCCTAGGCAAAATTTCCAAGCACGTTAGCCAACTGTACTAAGAAAAAGTTTAAAAGGGTAGGATTGTCATGGGGAATCCCAGATACTCTACTCATTTCCCTTCATGCTGCAAGTCTATGGAATTGGGATTAAGTTGCTTCACTAAACATTGAGTCATTTGCCCAGTGCCCTGTACGTTTCCACTCCTAATTTTCCTACCTATAAAATAAGAGTCATTAAAAACAGACAAAAAGATTCCTAACTCCCATCTCCCAGGGTTGGCAGTGCTCTGGAGACATTTCTAATAATAAACTTTTTGGGTTAAATGTTTTACTATATTGCATTAGATAAGTTCTGGCAGTTTCTCCCATCTCCTTCTCAACCCATAGGGTTGTGTAGCTTCGGGGAGAGTAGCCTAGGGGAGAGTAGCAGTGCTTTTCCACCTGGCTCAATCACCTTCTCAGATATATTTCACCTGCAGGACAGTTCTTCAAGTGGCCTTGGACACACTCAGTTCTCTCCCTTTTCTAGCTTGTAGTTTTCAAGAGTAACTATAGAATGTACTGGAATGCAACATCCTGAGATGGGAGCAAGGAGCTGGGTTATTTCAATCTCCCCTAGAAACAGCATGTCCTTTGGTGCTTTAAACCCAGTGGGTCATGTGACCCCCAGGTTTTAAAACCCAAGGTGGGCTTATAGTGGAACAGGAATATGTGCAGCTGAGACTTCATCCACCTTGGGCAGCTTTTCCAAACCTTGGGAGAACTGGCTCTCAATGAATCCTAGGCTTATGTTGTCTTTTGCTGCCTCGTTGTAAGCAATAAATCTACTGCATGTAACTTGTTGCACATGAGTATGTTCTGTCCCACTAGACAAGTTGGTAACCAGTGCACAGAGTACCTGCTTCACATCGCCTACACCTTCATGACAGAAATGCAGTTCTAAAGCACTGGCCAGTTGTAGCTTACTTCATCTCCCTCAAGGATGCATCGCAGAAACATTCTGTCATTGTTGTTCAGGGATTCACTTTAACTTTTCTCATTTCCCACACCTCCTTTCTTTCTTTCTAATCATTACTAACTCCTACCTCACATCAAAGTCATGAGGGTCAAAGGTGATGATGTTAACTAACAGGGCCTAGTACACTGCTAAGGGCTTCGAACTTGGCCTTTAGCAACCAGCTTTTCCCCTAGTTTAGAGCTACATTTGCTTTCCTTGGCATTTTAGTGCTGGGTGGGATGAGGTGGTTATAGGGAAGAGCTGGCCTTCCAGGGGATGGGTAAGGTGACCACTCAAAATTCACCTGCAGGCTTTGAGAACCCTGGCAAAGAATGATGAGCAGACACTAATGTGTTTTATGGTTTATCAAAATCAATGTAAGTGGAATATATAGGCTGAACTACAGCCTTATGACTTTAGGGTGAGGTGAACTGAGGTGGGTTGGGGAGTATTCATATGCGCCAAAATAATGTTCACTGTATCAGAATACTCATCTGACCCACAGTCTGGCTAGAACAATTTAGGTGGTAAAGCTAAATCCTGCCTGGCAGGGCTCGGTGGCTCAGCCTGTAATCCCGCACTTTGGGAGGCTGAAGTGAGTGGATTGCCTGAGCCCGTGGGTTCGAGGCCCGCCTGGGCAACTTGGTGAGACCGCATCTCTACAATAAAATAAAAAAATTAGCCAGGCATGGTAGCGCGCGCCTGTAGTTCCAGCTACTTGGAAGGCTGAAGCGGAAGGATCACCGGAGCCCAGGAGGTCGAGGCTGCGGTGGCCGGGAGCGGCCACTGCACTCCAGTCTGGGCGACAGAGTGAGACTCCAACTCAAAAAAAAAAGCTAAATCCTAAAATAATCTACTCCCCATCCTTTTTTCTCCCCCTAGGCATTTGACACAGAGTGATGCATGTTATCCCATGTTATTTATGTAACATCTCCCTTAGTTTCTAGGGCACAAGACAGTATCCACCGCACAGCTTATAGAAGGAATTCCCTCAGCTTCTTCTTACCCCCCCCAAAAAACTAAGCAACCAAAACAAAACAAAATCCTTCACCCTGTTTTCTGTTCTCACTGGAGCCTTTTCTTTTCTCATTCTCCTACTTTATTCCTTAGTGCCACCAAAAACCCAGTCTCCATCTGCGCCAGCCAGAGCGGTTCCCAGAGAGCCATGTGCTGCCCATGTGTCCATGTGCTATGAAATATAAAAGCAGGACTCCCTAGGAGCTGTCCCTGTTCAAGCTGCAGAGTCAGCTAGTCAGGGCTGCTAGTGTGCTGGGTCTTTGCACCCAGCTCATTTCTAGAACCAGGTGATGCTGCCCAGAAAGACATCTGGTTTCTAAATAAGTATATTAAGCAAAAATAATTTTGCTGTGGTGTTTCTGGTTTAATTTTGTCATGGTCTGCCACGTCTTTTCCCTACTGCCTTTTCTGCTTTACTGTGGCACAATTAGCTGTGGAAGATCTAGGAGATTCTAGCATTACTCTCCTAATCCACTCACCACACAACCTAAGCAACATAAAAACTGAATTTCTAAACTTCAGTACAGGGCATCTTGAGAGTGGGGTGACAGCATAGTAAATAAAAACCCATCTGTAAGAAGAGAACAAGGTTGTTAACAACCTCTCAATTTCTGAGTACTTTTTTTTTGAGTCAGGCTCTTACTCTGTTGCCTAGACTGGAGGGCAGTGGCACAATCATAGCTCACCACAGCCTCTACCTCCTGGGCTCAGGCGATCCTTCTGCTTCAGTTTCCCGAGTAGCTGGGACTACAGGCATACATGTCACCATGCCCGGCTAATATTTTTATTTTTTTGTAAAGACAAGTCCTCACTATGTTGCCCACGCTGGTCTCAAACTCCTGGACTCAAGCAATCCTCCAGATTTGGCCTCTCAAAGTGTTGGGATAACAGGTGTGAGCCACCACACCCAGCCAGAGGATTTTTTTAAAAAGATTTTTTTGTTTTCTTTCTCCTTCATATTTACTGACTCTAAGTTTTCCCTGTTAATTTGTTTTTGTCTTTATCTTCCACTTTATAGACTTTCTACTTATGTCTGGTAATCCCTAACTGTGCGTTCATGATTAATAGTAGGGAACTGAAACTGATTGGAAGGTCTGAATGCATGGTGTGGGGTTTCTCTACTATAAGCTTCAGTGAAAGATGTTCTAGATGGATTATTTGTTAGGAAACCACCCAGTGTCAGTTATTAAAAGTGTTTGAGTATTTCTGTATTCAGTTTTACTATCTCTAGAGCAGTGGGTCTCTATCAGGAGCTATTTTTCTCCCCAGGGAAAATTTGGCAAGGTCTGGGGATCTTTTTTGATTATCAGGACTGGAGGTATGGAGGTTAGGTGCTACTGACATCTAGTAAGTAGAGGGTAGGGATGCTGTTAAACATCTGCTGTGCACAGGACACCCCACCCCCATATGCCACCACTGTAAAGAACTGTCTCGTCCAAAATAGTGATACTGTCAGAGTTGAGAATTTAGGAAATAAGTCTCTGGACTTCTGTTTGGGATGGGGAGGGATAGTTGCCCAGAGGTGTGGAGTGGGGGAGGGAATCTGGAAGTCTATCTACCTCTCAAAAATGTTTAACTCAGTCCTCCTTATTTTAGACTTCCTCTTAAGTTAGTCCCAGAACTACATGGTACTGCCAGGTTTGAAGATTTTGGTATAAATTAGATCATTTTTTCAGTTTAGGATTTAAAGTGATCTCTGGCCTGCTAAATTAGTTCATTTGTTTTTGAGCTCCAAAATTCTGGTGCTCTTTTCTCCTTTCCTGTTTTCCTTCTCCACATGAGCCCTCACTATTTCTTTACTGTTTTCATAGGTTTTCAAAAGGAACAAAATCAGGACTCTATTTCTTGACATAGAGATAGGTCCATAGCATATTAAGAGAAAAAAAGTAGGTTACATTGTATTTTGGAAAGTGTCATTCTAGTCCTGAAAAAATGAGGCAAAACACAAAACTTTCTGCAACTATTTCTAATCTCTTTGCACATAGAAAATATTCTAGAAGACTAAGTATAAAATACCAAAAATGATTGTGTCTGGGTAGTGAAAGGACAGTGAATTTTTACTTTCCCCTTTAAACTTTTAGTCCAAAAATTTTCACAATGAATATGTATTTCATTTATTTATATACAGTTGTCAACAAAAATTATCAAACACTTAAAAATAAAACAAAAGATGATTATAAATCCTTGCAACGTCAAACTGTAACATTATTTAACAGATCTACCTGAGGAATTCTATAGGAAATCATGCCCATGTTTGATGTACTATTCACTGTTGACTAAGGTCCCAACTCAGTGAAATTACATGTAACTTGTTATGTTTTTGTCCAGGAGAGATGCAAATTATTTCTTTTTGGTAGAAACTGTAACCCCAAGGTTATAGATTTATTGCCTTGAGGGAGGACATTAACCAATTTTAGATTTAACCTAACAATCTTGAATACATTCTTTCATCAGTTCCTATAAATACTAAGTTCATTTAAATGCTCTATGCATTAGCTTTATTATTTTGTTGGCTCTCTTATTAATGAATTAAATAAGTCATTGACACATTTATATTTGAGAAGTAGGTTTCTGACTTTTAGAAAATTCTCCTTTGACCCAAATGAAATAATAAAGCAATTTCCAATTTGGGGTTAGTAAAAAAATCTAATAAATACCTCAACTATGTCAAAGAAAACAAGTTATATGATGAGTCCAGCCTCTGACTGCTTGCCCTGTTTGGGTTCCTTGGCAGTGCTTAAATTTGATATGCCTGAGCTGTGACTCCTTCACATACCTTTGGACAGCCAGCAATGCTGAGAGAAGTGAGGCTAGTGCAAAAAATGGCCAGTGCCTTAATAATCTCATCTGACAGCTGGGAGCAATAAGAGACATCCAAGTGTTCCAAGTTCAATGAGCTTCTGCAGAACGCCTACAAGAAATTCCAAGGTCAGAGATTTTTCTTTTCTTTTTTTAAATCTTTATTCAAGTGTTGTGTACATCCAGAGCCATCTTACCTATAGCAGTTTACTTAGTATACATTTCAGTCACTGAAATACAGATGTTATGTCTTGATGCCAAAAAAGGTTTTTTAAAAACCGCATTACGTCCCAAATGTCTTTACAGCAAATAATATTCACATATCAGCCAAACAGCTTAGTGTTATTCAAATGTCTGCTAACAAAATTTACTTTTCCTTAAGTTAGTACTAATGAAATTTGATTTGAATTGTCGATAATTATTAGAGTTATATTCATACAAATGAGTGGAAGAAAAGAAATCTGGAGGTAAGATTAGATTGTACACCCTCCAGAGTTGACAGTGGAATGTAAGAGACAGAAAATTTCTTGGAGTCAGACAATCCTGAATTTTAATTTCATTTCTACCATTTATTGTCTCTGAAATCTAAGCAAGAAAATTAACCTTTTTGAGCCTGTTTCATCTTCTTTTAATTAAGGAAAGTAGTATCTCCCCTCTAGCATTGTTCTGAAATGCCAAAACATTCATCCAAAATTTCTAGGGCTAGAAAAAGGCCTGAAAGTCATTAGAAATTCTTTTTATATCAATATTTCTTAATTTTCATTCCTACTTTTCAGTAAAAAAAAAAAAAATACCTGAGTGATAAGAATCCATGAGGAAATAATACTTAAAAGTTTACAACACAGCAGTTTGGCAAGAACAAAGTGGTTCACAAAAGTAAACTTAATAGTAATTATAAAAAATTATTAATAAGTGCAGAGGTATAGAAGTTGGAAACCACAGCCAACTCAAGATAACACTTACAAGAAAGTCCCTCCTCCAAATTGTAAGAATCACAACAATCTACATGTACTTAATCATTCTGAAGATTTTGCCTCATTGTAAAGCAGCTCAAATTCTTAGGGTACTAAGTTAGAGACCTCATAAATGATTATTTACCATTAACTTTAGTTATAAGTACTAGATTTGGTGGGTTACCAATAAGACATTTCTTACTATACCATGTGTACAAATTGATGCCCATCAGACTACGTCATTTTTCTCTTGGACCTGAGTGAGGGCTACTGAATCAATTCATGATCATCAGGATGACTTTAGGGAAAAACAACAACAACAACAATGGACTTCTCTCCCACTGCTTATGCCAGTTGTCTCTTGTTTTAGTCCCAAGGAAAATTGAAGGTAACTAGTTAGCCAGCTATTTTCTTTAGCAAGTTAATAGAATAGGGAAAGTTTCCAGAAGATAAGACTATAGGACTGTGGCATCATAGAGTGTGGTCAGAAGCCTGGTTCTGTTACTGTGTGGGTTTTTGAACGTCTCCAAGCCACAGTGTCTCCTCAGATAAAATGGTGATAATAACATCCATATGAAAGCATGGTTGTATGGATTATATAAAATAATATAGGTACCTGTTATGGCTCCTAGTACAAAATGGATTTTCAAGCTATAAAGTTTTATATACAGTGTAATTTGAGTAGCAGCATACAGATTGGTTAGTGGTTGGCACATAGTAAGCACTCCATAAAAGTTAACTAGTGTTTGCTTAGGCAGCATATATACTAAATTTGGAACAACGCAGAGAAGATTAGCTTGGCCCCTGCACAAGGATGGGACACAAATTTATGAAATGTTCCATTTTTCTCTCAGTTAGAAGGAAAAAAATTCAAGGAATCTACTACACAATATGGTGACTATAGTTAATAACAATGTATCATATACTTGAAAAGTACAAAGAAAGATTTTAAATGACCGCAAAAAAATAGTAATAATAAGTATGTGAGGTGATGGATATGTTAAATAGCTTGATTTAGCCATTCCAAAATGTATACATATATCAAAACATCATGTGGCACTCCATAACTATATATAATTTTTGTCAATTAAAAAAAGTTTTAAGTCATTAGAAATAATCAAGTAAATTTAGCTATTATTGAGATTTAGATATGACACCAAAAATAATAAAGATGCCCACTTGTACTGTACTTTGACAAAAAGTAAAAGATATTGGTTATTTTGACCTAAGTCATCTTTTTCTGACCACAACAGCCAACAGTGATTCATTCTTTGATCTCATGCAGAACTTGTCTTTTTCAACTGATTCAGCACTTAGAGTATTTGGCTCATTCCTGTATTGTGACTAACTTTTCATGGAAATCCATCTTGTCTAGCAACTAAGTCATGGCAAAAATTAGAAGGGGCAGTTTGTTGGGAGATAGCTTGCGATCTGTCACTAGGAATAATCAAGCATGGGGCGCATGGCCAGGTGGGTGCAGAAGGAACTCTACCTTTGAATGACTGGAATCAGAAGTCTTGAATTTCAGCTTGGAGATTCAATAAGTTTTACAGTAAGAATGCAATGAGACTCTCATACTGTCTGGAACTCTGCTAGATTTTATATCCCTTTCCCAAGCTTCATATTTACAACACAGTAAATTCTCAGTAAATACTAGTTGGTTGATCAGTCTTTTATAAGTGTCTTTGTGTCTTCAAGTAAACGAATGTCTGTTTTAATAACAAAGAATGTTTATGTTACAAAGAATAGAATAACATTGTTTTCTACTTAGACAATGGATAGAGTTCAAGGAACCAGAAAAAATTTAAAGCAAGAAAGAATATTTAAACTATAAGACTAGCTTTTTGAAAGATAAAACAAACTTTAAAGGGAGATTCAAGGCTATTAGTGTCTGAAAATACACTTCACTAGCATCTGCCAGAGTCTTGGACTGCTTGAATCAGTTATGCTTTGTGCCTTTAAAAAAACAAACAAACTCTAATATTCTTTGAAGCTGAAATTTCTCGGAGGTTTTAAATGAAAAAATAACCTTTTTTTTTCTATGATACACTCATGGTAGCATTTTCATCCATGGAAAATCTGAGGCCTAAAGATTGGTTCAAGGCTTTATGCTAAATCAGGGCAGATCCCCAAACTAAAGTCAGAATTTTTCCTGTCTTTTAATTCATATTATTCCTTGAAAACATACAAGACATATTAAGTACTTAAGTCTGCAGGCATGTTTCAACATAATCACGCATGAAATTCCATTTCCCCCTATAGATAAGATTATTATATGCACTTCTGGCTCTAGAGCTGCACAATTGTACATATATCAGTGCTGTTAATGTTCTTTTTTTGGCAAATGCTACACTAAACTTCTTCCAAGTTAAAACCTTTACATTAAAGATGGAGAAAAAATGCAAAAATTATCAAGTTTGGATCCTCTTCCATGTATCAGACAATTTGACTGTGGGTTAACAATCTGGAAGAAACTTCCATAACTCTTAGCGAGTTAAATCATTTATTTTTGTGTCATCTGAGCTGAATCACAGTGTAGGGGCTTAATGACTACATTCCTAAATTGGGTATGTAGAGGAGACTGGGTTTCACTCACATTTATTGACTGTCACAATAATGTGCTTCTGCCAAAATTCTGATTTAAACCACCTCAACAGATGGCAGCTTCTATCCTTTAAAAAGCTCATTTCATAGTGCTGCTCATAATACCATCTCTTGACTATTTGCCTCATTAGGTCCCGATTAATTCTACTGCCAAGTTTTCCTTTTTTTCCCCCTTCTTTGTTGATAACTCTGGAAAAATGTGCTGTTAAGACCTATTTTCTATAATACAAGCTATTTTTGGCTGTCTCAAAGGCTAAGATACACCTTCTGTAATTTTATGGTATAATCTAAATACAAAACTCTGGTTTCTTGGGCCTCATCTATCCAATGAAATATAGAGTTACACTTCACCAAAGATGGCTTTATTCCCAGTGAGCATTAGAGCAGGTGGGAGTGGTCATGGCCTGGCCACAAAAACCGAACTCTGCAGATCCTGAAGTTGCCCCTCCTGGTGAGACTCCTTATTCCCATCCTCCTTACCAGGGAAACCTGGCTTAGCAAGACTTAGCAAAGGCCAACCTCAGAGAAGCACACTGCTTTTAAATGTGGAGGGTACTCTGTGAGAGGGAAGAGGGGCAAGACCAAGGCTCAGAACAAATATTTTCAGAGATAGTTTCATGACAAAATTCATTACAAAATTATATAGCTATCTAGGGGATAAACATTATCTTCAAACCAGTTCAAATATGGCTTACTCTGTGGTCCTCCCCAATTCTTCCCCAAAAGAAATACCTTTTCCAAATTCCTATAGCTTTTAAATTTTTTTGTCTTTCTTACTTTTATCCTTCTCACTTACTACTTGTATACATGAATGTATTGATTCATATAACTGCTTTTTCTTCGTTGGCTATAGCTTCTTGAGGGCAGACTCCAGATATAACTTATCTTTATGATGCCAACACCTGGCATGCAGAACTAGTTCAAGATGAGAGCATACACAAAAGGAATGAAGAATGCTTCTCAGCACAGGAATAAGGACAATGAGCTCCCATAAGTGGCCCTCAGAATACTAAGTCCAGTCCTTCCTTTTACTCTGTACAACAACTTCCAGAGGTTAAGAGCACAGAGTCCAGGGGTCCAATGGCTTGAGTTCATGTCCTGCCACAATAAGTTCTGTGCATCTGGACAAATTACCTAACCTCTCTATCCCTCATTATTCTCGTCTGAAGCATGGGAATAACATGGTATCTTAGTATGACATCTACTTCATAGAGTTATTGGGGAGATTAAGTGAGTTACTATGAATAAAGTCATTGAATAGTGCCTTGCACATAGTTATCTAACAGTTGATAATAGTTACTACTACTGCTGCTGCTGCTACTGCTACTGCTATTCCTACTACTAAATAGTAGCTAGTAGCTTTGTATTCATTGCTTCTCTATGGCTCTGATTCCAAATTGTAAAGCCATGAGCACAGTAGTAAAAATATTTTCAGCATAAAAGGGGGACCACCAAAAAAATAGAATTTATTTATAAAAAATTGTGCATTTATTCTTACATGTTAAAATTTCAGTTGCCTTCAAAGTACTCTCTGTTTGATGCAATACATCTATTA